GAAGGCTAGGCCGCAGATGGCCCTGTAGACCACGGCAGGTTTCAGACTGAGGAAGATGAGAGGCCAGCAGGGGTGTCTGAAGTAACAAGATGGCTGTGGCTCCATGCTGAGAACAAGTGATGAGGGGCAGTGTGAAAGAAGACAAGGGGTGCTGTACCAGGCCAGACAAAAGCTGCCAGGGCACCTTGGCCTGGTGTGGTAGTGGAGGGGAAGGTAGTGAGGGCTGAGCAGACTCTAGGTGCAGTGTAATAACAGCCAATGTGAGCTGAGATCTGCCCACAGGCTAGAAGTAGGTGTTGGAAAGGCAAGGGTACTGGCAAAACAGGGCTTTGACACCAGGCCTAGGAGACAGGCCTTCTCTTGGTTTTATGCACAAGGTAATTGGAGGACCTTGCCAGAGACTCAGTTTTTTGTCCCCTTCTCCTGGAGGTGTTGCCTGTTGAGAGTCACGACAGATTTGGGGGCCTTTGGGATGAACACTCCAGTGTGGTCGTGTCTTGAGGCAGCATAGTAAGGAAGGACAGAGGGTGCTCTCTGAGAAAGCTAGCACTGTGTGTACTAGCCTAGCATGAGGGTGGCGAAGAGCCCTTGAGGATGCTGGGAAGCTTTTCTCTTAAGACCACGGCTCACCATCCTTGTCCTCAGATGGCTATAATGGAGTGCCACACATTCACTGACAAAGAGCAGTAATGTCCATCTTCCTCACATTTTGAGGCTGGAGGTACCAGCAGGCTGTGAGCACGGTCAGGCTCTGGAGAGGGCCTTAGCTTGGCTGGTAAATAGCCACCTTCTTACTGTGCCTTCATAGGTCAGAGTGTGAGTGGTCAACCCCTTCTGCTGTCTTCTGACAAAGAAACTAACACAATTGGAAAGGGGCCTCATTTAACATTAGTCACTTCCTTAGAGACTTTATATCCTTGATCCATAATCCATCCAACAGGGGATTAGTCCCAACACGTGAAGTAGGGGAGGGCTGCTGCCCCCCAGGCCTGCTGAGGTAGCCCTATCACGTGGAAATACTCTCTCACACTCCCCAAGTCCCTGAGTTCCAGAACCATTTAGGGGAACAGTAAACCCTCACCTCTTTGCCTGCTCCTCTCTAGAGGTATGGAAAACTCCCAAGACCAACTTTTTGGAGAAGGAGATTATGCTACTATAGAAAGGTCTAGCTTTATGCCTTGAAGCAGCTTTGAATGCTTGGGACAGAATTGGAGATGTAGGAAAGAAAATTGAGTCATTTACTAAAGTTATGCAGGACCCAAAGGAAGCCTTTCATGGATTTCTTACAAAGACTGACTTCAGCAGTAAATAGAATGATACCAGATTCAGAAGCTAGACAAATAATAATTGAATCTCTGGTTTCTGAAAATGCTAATTCTTAATTGAAAGGGATAATTAGGTCTTTAAAGGCAAGGTCGGCACCTTTGGAGGAAGATACAATCAATATTGAATCTTATGACCATGATGATGCATGGATAGGAGAGGTGATTTCAAGAGGTTTGAAGAAAAATAGAATTGTCAAGTGTTTCAATTATGGCAAACAGTGTCACCTTAAAAGGGACTGTAAACAGGGCATTGCTAGAAACAATGCTTTTTCTAATCATAATTCAAATGGAATGTCCTTCCCTTCTGGATTATGCAGGTAGTGTGGCAAAGGCAGGCACTGGACTAATGAATGCAGTCAACAAGAGACATTCGAGGTAACCCTTTGCCGTCAGGAAACTCCTTGAGGGGCCTCCCACAAATTACCCTATACCAAATCTGGTTCAGTAGTTTCCTGTCATTGTGGAGGAAAATCCTTCTCAGAGCTATTAAAGAACCTAAAGCCTATAATAAGAAATCATACTCTTCTGGATGATAGAAGAGTTTTTGAAGCTAGAAAAAAAATCTACTTTTAAAAAGAAGCTACTGGTTTTAAATATTTTACATTGGATTGGATTTTTGTACATTGTATACAAATTTTGTATATTAGGGGGCTGGAGAGATAGATGGCTCATAGGCTAAAAGCACCAGCTGCTCTTTCAGAGGTCCTGAGTTATTCCCAGCAACTACATGGTGGCTCACGACCATCTATAATTAGGTTTGGTGCCCTCTTCTGGCATGTTGGGATACACAACATGCCAGAACACTGTATACATGGTAAACAAATCTTTAAAAACCAACAAATTTTGTATATTGATACAAATTTGAGATTGATTTTGTTAAAACATACTGTACATACGTCTCTAATCTTGTTCAAGATATTGTACCTATACAGCTCATTTAACAATGTAATGCAAATTTCTAGTCCTTGAAAGTTATTATTACCAGCTATTTAGGATAATAAGGAAATGCAGGTTAGTAATTAGTCACCTATTACAATTGAACTTGTAGTCACATTAGATATGTTTTCAAGATCAAACAGATATATTTTGGAAAGACGGGTCATTGTCAAACACTTCGGAGATCTAAAAAATATGACATTTAAGGTATTTTAATAACATAGGCTCTTTAAAAAAAAAAAAAAAAGACAAGAGTCATGTCTGCTCCTGGCAGCACTAATCTACTTCAGAGAGACAAAGATTGAAGAAACTCCACATGGAGTTTACTTTCTTTATGGTGAAAGTTAGCCACTGGGCAAGAAAGTGTCTTTGCCTCGACTGCTGACAGTATGCTGTTCAAATTGGACAAGCAGGACCAAAAAGAGAGTGACTGCCAAACCTTGTCAAGGCAAGAAGGGACAGTGCTTCAAAAATCCTGCTTCACAGAAAAATCTGTCAGATATGCTAGGCCTATAGGCTGAAGACAGATTCCCCAACGTTGCAGAGGAACCTTGGGTGACTGTCCAAGCAGCCAGCTGTTTTTGTCTTTCCCCACATTTTTTTAGAAGTCACTTGTTTGCACTTCCTGCTTATTCAGTTAATATTATTTCCTTCTCAGGTCTCTGAGGGAGTCGAAGACTAGATAATTATAGTTACAGTTTTCCTTGCTTACCAGACTCAGAAAAGAGACTCACTAAAGAAATGTAAAGTATATGAGGCTGAGAGACATAAAAAGATAATGTTCAGTTGGTAATGTAAGTTAGAATAGAAAGTAAATTAGGTACAACATTTTGGAATCACCAAGATAGGATAGATAATGGGAGTATTTTCCCTGAATTTGTCAAATGCAAATGAACTAGACATTGTTGATTTACTTATTGCCTGTATATATTGTATGTAGTTATTTTATTTATTGCATATGATTTTTCTTGTATTAGTTATAGGCTTCTTTTTTATTTTAGACAAAAAAGGGGAAATGTGGTGATATATTGGTTGTAATCTAACAAATAAAGCTTCCCTGAAGATCAGAATGCAGAACTAAGCCACTAGGTTAACAACACACCTAGTGGGCCCTAGAGATTGCTCCGAGGTTAAGAGCACTGGCTGCTCTACCAGAGGTCCTGAGTTCAATTCCCAGCAACCACATGGTGGCTCATAACCATCTGTAATGAGATTTTGTGCCCTCTTCTGGCCTGCAGGCTTGTAGGCAAACACTGTATACATAATAAACAAATAAATCTTAAAAACAAACAAAACACACCTAGTTAAGAGGTAAACCACTAGTTAGCCCCTACAAACTAAGCCACTAGTTAGCCACACATCTAAGCCACTAGTTGACCATAGAGGACAGGCAGTGGTGGCCACACCATTAATCCCAGCACTCAGGAGACAGAGGCATTTGGATCTCTGTGAGTTCAAGTCCACCCTGGACTACATGAGAATGAATCAGTCTAAAAGAGAAAGAGAGCTCACACCTTTGATCCCAGCACTGGCTTGTGAACCTGTAACAGTGGCCACGCCCTTTGGGTGTGGTTACAGGTGTGGATGTGACCAGTTTAAGGTAGAGGAGCAGGGGACAGAAGCCCCCTTTTGGGCTGTGGAGAGCACTGGGGAGGCAGGGTCTGCATCCTTGGAGCAGGATGTTATCTGTGTAAGTTCATCCCCAATAAACACCTATTTATCATTCATCTTGGTTTGGCAAACTCATTATAACTACTCGCCTTCCCTTGGGATGACATGCCTTTAATCCTAGCACTAGGGAGGTGGAGTCAGGAGTGATATGGCTTGGCAGAGAGAGGAATATAAGGTGGGAGGAGACAGGAACTCATTGCAGCCTTGGTGAGTCTGAGAAGCTGTGCAGTCAAGTCTGAGGTTCAGTGGATCGTCCTTTTAGGCTGAACATTAGTAGAAATAAGAACTCTTCAAGTGGCCACTTGGCTTCTCTGATCTTCAGCTTTAACCCCAATATCTGTCTCTGGGTTTTTATTATTCATGCTACACTCTTCCACCTGTCACAGGGCTGGGCTTGGGCAGTGGAAACATTTCAACAGCCAAAGTAATGAATGGTAGTTCACAGTTATTGGGTCTTGTTATGTGAAAGCCTTGGGATAAGGACTGCCCTCATATTATTGTTCAACCAGACTGAACCAAAATCTTAGAAAGCAGGTGCTGTTAAAAACCATTTTACATTCAAGAAACGTGTTAAAGTCACATGGCTGGGACATGCAGGTGCGACCCAAACAACAGACTTTAAATATTTTTGCTCAGTACTGCTTTGAGTCTTCAAACATCTGGCCAATCAGAGTTGCCTCAGGACTGCAAAGAAACAAATAAACAACAACAGCAACACTCTTAAACAAGAAAAGAAAATTCCAGAAGCAAAATCAATCTTGGAGTGAATATTGATCATCCATCTCTGCCAGGTGTCAAGAATGACAGGCAAAATAGGCAAGATAGGGTTGGGCATCATCCATCTCTGCCAGGTGTCAAGAATGACAGGCAAAATAGGCAAGATCCGGGGGAGGGGGGGGGCTGGAGAGATGGCTCAGAGGTTAAACGCACCGGCTGTTCTTCCAGAGGTCCTGAGTTCAATTCCCAGCAACCACACAGTGGCTCACAAACATCCGTTATGAGATCTGGTGCCCTCTTCTGGTGTGCAGATATACATGGAAGCAGAATATTGTATACATAATAAATAAATAAAAATCTTTTTAAAAAAAACTGCTAAAATAGGCAAGATCCATGGGTTTTTGTGAACATGCTTTCTTCACATCAGCAGTGGATCGGGATTTGAAACTTCATTTGGTTGATGGGTGTTGCTGGAGAAAGCAGCCTTTGAAACATTCTGACTGCAGACTCATGCCTCTCGCTGGAGATGACCATTGAATATTGAGATGCAGCCACTGACAGGACATGGCCTCCTTCTGTCAATCAGCAGGTAATGGAGGGCCCTCTAGCTTCTGCTGGCACACGGTCCTCTCCTCTTACGCCCATGGAGGCCTGGAGCACATGTGACCTGAGGTGAGCATGGCAGCTCCCCAGGAAGCCCGTCTTCTAAGGCTTTAGGATGGAAACAAAGCCAAGGGCTTTCCTGAGGAAGCCCGTCTTCTAAGGCTTTAGGATGGAAACAAAGCCAAGGGCTTTCTTGGGTGCTCTCCAGGTCACAGTATCTCCATCTTCTCATCCAGCTCCAGTGTTCAGAGAAGGCTATTGGCACAAGAACTTTCCACCTGAAGATGAGGGACACATCAATGGCCAAGCAGTGAGCCAGGGTAACCCCTAACAAAAGAGGTAGCATTTCAGCCTAAGCCTATCTTATACTCAAACCCGCACTCTTTGTCCAATCTAATTAAACTTTTGTCACATTTGATGGCTATGTATTATTTTACAGTTTTTAGAACACATTTACATACTTGATGTAATTATATTCAAATCATTGTTGACAGCCAGAGATATCCTACACTGAAGGCGAGATTGATTCCCACTTCCAGTCAGTCTCTGCTCTCTCACACTTTTCAAGTCTCTTTCTTCTTAGTCAGTCAGAATGGGGAGTTCTGCCTCACAGAAGTCCTAAGTATACTTGTGTCTGGGAATAAAGTTGGATACTTTGGACCGGAATCACCTCAGTGGCCCCTCCTCATGCATGGCTATGGCCCCCAGAAGAGCAGTGTGCCAGGAGAGAAAAGGCACCAAGTTGCTCCATCACCAACTCCCAGCCTCCTCCCTGCTCCTGTGGAGCCCTGCTGCCTGGAACTCTGTTTCATGGACCTGCCAGCCATCATCACAGTCTTCCAGGACTAGTGCTCAGATCTCATACTGGGTAAATCAAACCTAGGCAGTTCCCAAGAGCCAGCAAGGGGCTCAGTGAATGGTGACTGGGACACTGGGTCCCATCCCAGCTCTGCCACTGACAAGGTGCCTAAGTATTTCTTTTCTCTGTACCTAAGAGTCTTTATCTATAAAGTAGGGACAGTGACATCCATCCTGAGTGGCTTTTACAAGGGTCCACCCAGACAAAGGCAACAGGAGTCTAGAAGCTGGCCATTGGTCTGTCTGTCTCCTTCCCACTTGCAGACCCACCCTCTCTTGCTTTCCCGGAGTGTTAGCTTCTGGCTATGGCTTCTCCTTTTATGGCTGGTTACCCATGACTGGCTTCCTGACTTGTCTGAGCTTCACAAGACTACAGAGTAGGAGGCCAGCCTCTCTCCAGTGGTCTCTGTCCTTACACATTGTGGCTTTGAGCTGGTCACTTCAACTTCATGGATCTCATGTTTCCCTTTTGTAGAGGAGGGTCTCTTGGGATTCTAGAAATACTAGTAGTTGATTGTATCTTCTGGATGTCGGAAATGGTGAAGCGATGGTTAATGCTGTCAACTTGACAAGAATCCAAAATCACCTGAGAGAGATAGGTAGGCATGCCTACAGGGGATTATCTTGATAGCATTAATTAAGGTGGGGTGATCCACCCATTGTGGATGGCACCATCCCTGTGCCTGTGATCCTGGAGTGTGTAAGTAGAATAGCCAAGAACAAGCATTAATTTGCCTCTTCTGACTGTGGATGCCTCAAGAGCAGCTGCTTCAGGTTCCTGACGCCTTTATTACCTTGATGCGATGGGAGTGTACACAGAGCAATGAGCTAAAATAACTTTTCTTCCATAAGTTGCTTTTCATTTTATAATAGCAACAGAAAAGTAACAAAGAGGGTGATACCTTAACATCAATTACCAACTGCAATTCTTAGTAAGTTCTGCATGATAGGGCCCCATCCTTACTCCTCCCCAGGCCCTTTTCATGCCTCATGGTAGTCCAGAGAGGCTGGCTTGATTAATCTTCATGTTGAGGACGTCACAGTGCTCAAATCAGAAAGGCCAAGGCAGGTATGCAACTTCAAGTTCTTTTGACTTAGGTTACATTTCAGAGGTGGATGGTGTCTTGGTTAGGTTTCCATTGTGACAAACCATGACCAAAAGCAACTTGGGAGGGAAGAGTTTATTTCAGCTTACAAATCCCAGGGCCAAATCTCAAGCAGAGGACAGAAAGGAGTGCTGCCTACTGGAGTTCATCCTGGCTTGCTCAGCCTGCCTTCTCATGGAACCCAGGACTACCTGCTCAGGGGTGGCCCTGACCACCATGGGCTGGGCCCACACATCACATCAATCAAAAAAATGCACATCAGATTTGCTTACAGTCCACTCTGGTGGAGGTAATTCCTCAATTGAGGTTCTCCTTCCTGATGACCCTCACTTACATCAAACTGACAAAAACTAACTGACGCAGATAGTGCTGGGCTCCCCACCACTGCCTATTACTCATTTCCTCTCAAGCTAGGGTGGGGAGGAAAGCCCCTCAAAGCCCAACCTTCCAGGGAGGAAAGAACCTCGAACCTCCTGCAATATCCCCACACACCCATAGTTACTGCCTACAAGTGTCACATCAGGGAGAAGCCACTACCATCACTTTTGTCTTTGTCTGGATGGAGAAATGAGTAAGTGGCAAGACAGAGCCATAAACAGACCTTGCAGAAAAATCATTACCCCCAGAAGCCCACAACACCCAATGGCAAACATAATCAAAGATGAAAGCAATTATTCCATCTTTCATTAACCAAAGGTCACAGACTGGCCTTGGGCAGAGTGGCCCAAGGTCCCAGGCCCCTCCTGTCTGACATCACACCTGGGTCCACAATAACAGATGCGTATTTTAGGCTCATCGTGGAGATGGGCCTCAGGACTCGTCATTGCTTTTCTTGCTGCATCATGCCATTCCAGATATTTCTTATGTGACATGCAGCTCCATGGATATTTGGAGGTTCAATACTCATTCCTCAGCAAGTTGCCAAAAATCTCTGACTTAGAAAGAAGCTCAGAGACAACACATCCCAGGTCCTTACAGGGCAATTACACTTCTAAGGAGAATCACGGGTATCCACAGCTCTAACCGAGATCCTCTACCTCCTCCTCTGGCTATTCCAAACCTTTTGTTTTGGTGGCTTAGGGCAATTACACTTCTAAGGAGAATTACGGGTATCCACAGCTCTAACCGGGATCCTCTACCTCCTCCTCTGGCTATTCCAAACCTTTTGTTTTGGTGGCTGGGTGAAGGGATGCAAAGTTGTTCCCATGGAGCCCAGGCTCCCCACAACCCTGGTGCCTGCCTGCTCAGAGGCAGGGAAGAAGCCACACTGGGCAAGCATACAGAAAAAATGTGACTTCTTGTATTGTCCTGTGAGGTTCTTGATCACAGATTGTACTCTCTCACACTGCTACCAATGGCCATCTAGCCCTCTCTTGGCTGTCTCCAGGGTTGAAGTGCTCACTCTCTACTGTTCCAGGAGGACCCTTATGGCTGCCGCATGATCTCTTGGGCCCAGCCTGGGACCTGAGATGGGTGAGGCCTCTTCCCATGGCCTCACTTTTTTAACACAGAGTGAACTTGACTCTTCTGTGACAGCACTGGTCTGTGAGGACAGCCACTGTAGGAAGGCAATTCTGTCAGGGAGACACACTGATTCAGAAGCTTCTTCCTGTGCTGGGGTCCTGACAAGTGGGGATAGACAGATGTGGAGAGGGCATGGCTAGGGCTGGAATCCAAGGGAGGAGGAGATCATTGTCTGGGGAGGCAGGGAAGACAGTAAACTCCCAAGAGGAGCCTGTCTACTCTAATCCCTGGGCTCAAAGTGTGTGCGGTAGTGTCACAGGATTCTGTAGACCTTAGTAACTTATCTGTATACTTCTATGTATGCTTTTTCCTTT